ACTGAAGATGGGCCCAAAGGAGTTGTACCCAGTGACTGAAGATAGGCCCAAAGTTCACCTTTGTCAGACACATGTTCAGGAAATCCCAATCAACGTGGTCATAGGTTTTTCGAAGTCTATAAAGAGCACCGCTGTCGGGACCCTTCTCTGGCGGGTGTATTTTGATCGTCTTGTTGACTAGCAGTATGTTATCCTGGATGTTGCAGTTCGGCATGAAGCCCATCTGGTCAGGATGTTTGAGGAGATTCATGAGCGGCAACAGTCTTCTGGTTAATGTTTTTGCCACAAGTTTATAGAGGAAAGGAAAGAGCTTGATCGGCCTCTAGGTTCTAATTTATTCCTTCTTCCCCTTCTTGTATAGCAAAGTAGTGACCCCTTGTCCCATCATACCCCCAAAAGATCCTTCCCGTTGGATTGCCCTAATGTGATCCATAAGGTCTGCTCTCAGCAGGTTCCAAAACTGGATCCAGAATTCCTTGGGAAAGGAGTCCTATGTAGAGGGAACTATGTGTCCGTTGAAGAGATGACGGACCAAGTTGGACAAGAACCCCCCCAAAGTCCCAAGCCTGACTCGAACCCATGATCTATGACATGTGACCTGAAGCCTCTACCATTTGAGCAACAATCGCAAACGGCACCTGTGTGTGATATGCCAGACTGGGGACATCAACAGAATAACCACGAGCAACAGTGACAAGCAACCCACGCAGTATCAAGACCTGACATACAACACCGTGGACAACCCTTGGGTGGTTCAAAGGCAGTGTCTGTAATAGCTTACCATGCGTCAGCCCAAGCGGGTGTGTGTCCAGCCGTGTGTCATTCTAACGCCCTGCCAGTGTCCATGAACAAGGCTGCGGAGTTTTAAACCCTCAACCTCACACCACAATGCGCATATCCAACCGGTGCTCTAACCACTGGGCTACATCAACTCGACACCACCACTGGGATAAAGGCTTTGCAGAAGGGCCTTTCTTCCTCCCCCCCCCCAAAAAAAACAGTGTATGAGTTCTGCCAGGATCTCAAGTGCCCCGAAAAGGGTACAACGTTCTATAAACCTACCTTGTTTTCCCCGAATACAACGTACGTTAATTATAGCTGTACTTAGACTGAAAGATACCCCAAATACAGCTATAGTGACTGTACGTTGTATTCGGGGGAAGAAGGTAGCAATTATCATCGCCATCCACAGTTTTCTATGACGGGGGTAGCCTGTACCAGCCTAATGTGAAACTGAAATATTGTACCAGCAGATGCCACAAAAAATACAAGGAAGAACAATGAATGAAAAGAATTAAATTGAGCTCAATGATGTCAGGGAAGGCCCTCACTGATGCCATACTGACACTAGTACTTTCCAGAACATATCTGACCACTATTATGGCCAAATCGTTTTTCATTTTTTTCCCCCACCCAAATCTTTGTTGTTGTTGTTGTTGTTGTTGTTGTTGTTGTTGTTGTTGTTTTCTTTCTTCTTTTTCTCTTAGTGCGCTGACATTCTCCAGAAACGCCCTCACCGAGGGCATACTCACACTACAGTCTTCACCCGAATAGAACACGTGGTCATTATAGCTGTACTTGGTGCAACTTTCAGTCCAGATACAGCAATAATTACCCGCATTCTATTCAGGTGAATATGGGGTAGTACTTTCCATAATGGAACTTACGGTAGTACTTTCCTGAATTCATCTGACTGCTATCTCAGCCACTTCTTTGTTTCTTTCTTCATAGCCCAACCCAGTTTCTCTTTCCCCCCCCCCTTTTTTCACCAATTTGAATTTCAATAGATCTTTTTAGGCCCACCGGCCTTCTCCCTTTGAACCTAAGCCTTGCCTGATCACTGCAGATTTTCTCCAGATTTTGCTACCTCATCGGTCCCAAGAAAAATCTACAGCACAGCGTCCAATGGACTGGTGGGTTAAACCGCTAGTACACGGCCCCAGCCTTGCAGAAAGTTTTTTGTTGCCACAAGCAAAACTCGGAGGTGCCGCGCGGCCAGGCCAGCCGTTGAAAAAAAAAATAAAAAAAATTGGCGGCCTCCGAAGTGATGCAGGTTTCATGCTGACACCCGCAGGCCAATATGTGGTGTACTGGTGCTTTAAAGCACCAGTACATGGCCCCAGCCAAGTTGAGGAGTCCAATTGAGCCTCCCCTAAAATTTAGGAGGCTCGCACGCCATCGATAAAATAAATCGAGGGCAGGTGGCCTCCGAAAGGGGCCTGCAGCCAACGGCTTGGCATGTACTGGTGGTTCAAGGTCCCCAACATCCTAGGTATATCGGCAACGCCAAAAAAGCACTCGACAATTTCCCAAGACAAGACAGCACGACAACTTTGCTGAGGACAAAGCAAGCCCTTACACCAGAAAGGAAACACTGATCTGGGGTTTCTTATCTTACCGTAGACACTGTGCATTTGTTCCAGCTTTGCTTGGCCTATGGGAACAAGACGAGTACAGCGAGGCAAAAAGAAAATGATTTGTGCCTTTGACAGTCCCTTTTTTTTTTTTCCCTGAGTGATTAACACTGAGGTAGGATAGCAGGAATAGGGGTGCGGTAGGGGAGGGGAGCGGGGGGGGGGTGTTAGGAGAATTGATGAGAGGATAGGTAGGCAGGTGGTCTCACGAAAAATAGGAACAACTAATGGCTGGCTGGGATTGCAACTACTGTGTGTGTCTGGAACCTGGCCTCTACAACAACCTCGACGGTCCTTTCTTTTCTGCTGCATATCAGCAGGTCGGGTCAGGCAAAGGAGGCTGAAAGGAACTGATGGTTTGAACGACCGGTACTTTTGACCCTTCCCTTGCCAAGCCTGAAAATGCCCTGCACTCCATAGGAAAACTAGCCCCCACGGGCCGCCGGTAACCATGTTGCTCGCGTAGGCCGACCCCCAAAACTCGCGGTGTGAGCACCGCCACGTCGGAGAAAAATGGATGGGAATCGTATTGGTGGCTTAAATCACCACTCCCTCTGAGATCAAGAAATTGGGGGGACGGGTAGCACAGGTTCATTAGGGCTACTGGTAGTACAGTGTCGAGAACCGAAAGAAACAGAAAAAAATGAAAATGTGTTGAAATGCCTCCGCGATTTATTTCATGGTTTAAGAAAATTTAAATATATACATGTATATCTATATATAGATATATAGGTCACGAGCACATCTACGAACACTCCAGTTTTCAGAGTCTTTGACGCATTCTTTGGAGCGGGGGAAATCGCAGAAGTTGAAGAATACTTTTCCCGTTAACCTACAAACACCACTGTGGCAAAACTGGAACATGCAACGAATCGACGCCGCGATTGTTTCACGGTCAAAATGATTTTGTTTCATTTTTCTGATATTTTTCCTGGAAAGATCACAAGCTAATCTACCAATGCTCAAATTTTCAATTTTTTTTTGTGAATTCTTCTGGCCGCAAAAAATGATCAAAGTTGCCACTTCCAAATTTAGGAACTAGGCCTGCCGTTTCCCTCGAAACCCGCCCGAACTCACAGGGAGGTTTAAGCACCCACGGTCGGCACGGCTCGGCCTGCTCCCCGCGCGACACGTCAGGGCGGCTTCCCCACCTTTTGACGTGGCCTCCAACCTGATCGGGTGCACGCCACCTGGCGTGTCATCTAAGGACCTCTTGTGAAGGGCGTGGTTAGTAAGGAGGGGTACGACTAGGGTGTGTAGGGTTGTGTGACGTGGGGTAAAACAAGTGTGGGGGTGAACTGAGTGGCGAATGGTGATGGTGACTTCGGGTGATCTACAGAGAGAAGCGCCCGAGTGGCTTATACCCATCCAAGAGAGTTGTGTGCGGTCCAGCCTGGCGGTGGTGATGGTACAATCGGCTGCTGCTGCGGGAGTCGTCCCGTCGATCTCGTGGCTCCAGAGCGTGATGCAGGTTTTAATGGAGATATCATGGGGGTTGGAGGAGGGGCAACCCCCCACCTGGATGCGTTTCTGGATCGGCCACGATTGGACAGTTTGCTGCGTCGCCACAACGAGGAGCTTGAGGAGGGGCAAGCTTTGAACGGCGAGCTGGAGGCCCGATATTACGACAACGAAGACGACATCACGGACGATGCTAACAACGATGCAAGCACGACCGGCAGCCATACCAACAACAATATCAGTGCAGCCAGCAACTACATCGTCGACAACCACAATAACAACACCAACAATCACAACAACGACACCCATATCGCCTCCGCTCACAACAACAACAACAACGACGACGCCGACGACCTATGTTACCGCGCGTTCATTGAACGCGCGTTCCGCGTTCAGTTTTTGAACGCTAGGAACGCGCGTTCAGTGAACGCCCCTGAATGCGATTGACGCATTTGCGCAGGGGTCTGTCGGGGCTGGAGGGGTGCCTCTGAGGCCACGGGTGCGTCGGCGGTCTTTAGGTGAGCCTGTGGGGAGGTCGTATGCCCGAAAAAAAAAAAAAAAAAAAAAAAAAAGGCCCGTGTTTCGTCGCGGGGCGATATATAGCGGGGGCAGCGTTCGCAYGCGACACAGTCGTGCATGGCGCATCAAGCGTTCCCCGTGTTCACTTCACAAAGTGCTGCACACGCACTGCGAACGAGTGAACGCGCGCGCGCGCGCGCGCGCAAGAGAGAGAGAGAGAGAGAGAGAGAACGCGAACTCGACGTTGCGGAGGCGCGCGGGGACGGCGACGGACTAGCGCAGCATCGGACGACATCCTGAACGACGCGGAGCGGCGGTGGACACGGCGACAGCGCGCATCAGCACTAAAAATTGAATGCGCGTTCAAATCTTTGAACGCGCGTTCAAATCTTTGAACGCGCGTTCAATTCTTTGAATGACGGGTGTGGCTGGGGGGGAAGGGGGGTTGGGGAACCGCGGGGCATTGTCGGCACAGTGCGGGTTTCGAGTCCGTGGGGGCTGCGTGGCCGACACAACAGGGGCAGGTCGGGGGCGGCCCGGCGAGGCCTTGTGCAGGGAGGGACGCCGGCGGGAGTTGGACCTTCGAGGGTCARGYTGAGGGYGGACCGCTTCGGTGAACCCATCGGCGAGCGGGCACGATGCCGCGAGGTCAGGCTCGGGTGTTCGAGGATGGGGGGGAGGACGAGAATCTGAAGGCGCAGAAGAGATGTTGCGTGTACAAGTACATCCGCATGGGACAAAGTCTCGGCGAGAGATTTCGCGGCAATCGCATGTTGAAGTGCGTTTTCTGCGGGCACGAGTTCCAGGGCAACCAGTTCGTGGCGGCGCGCCATTTCCGCCAGGGCAAGGGATGTCCGGAAGTGACCGACAAGGCACTTGTCGACATCCACTACAACAGTGAGTACAAGATGTCCGACAAGTTCCTACAGCGGATCCAGCAGTTTGAGGAGTTTCACGGTCCGACACCTGCGATGGATCCGCGACGGGACGAGGGGGGTCAGGGAGAGATGAGGGACGCGGAGAAGCAGATCGACGTGCAGCAGAGCCAGTACTTTGCGTCGGCGCACGTGTCGGTTGGTACACGGGCAGGTGCTGATACAGCTGAGGCGGGTCCGTCTGCGGGGAAGAGGAAGGAGAGAGAGGAGGGGGTGCGACCGACGGCAGCAGCCGCAGCACAGAAGAGGCTGTGGCAGAACACGATCACGGAGTCATTCTCTTCAAAGTGGCAGATGGAGTTCAAGAAGAAGTGGCTGCGGTTTGTGCACAGTCAGCGCCTGGCGTTCAACGTCTTCCGGAGTGAGCCGTGGTTGGACGTCGTCCGGCACTTCAGGGATTTGTCGGGGCCAGTGAAGGTGTTGTGGCCTTCAGAGAACGAGATTGCGGACATAGAGACCATTGTCCACACGGCGGACGATGTGGGAGCTGATCTCGCGGAGGTCAGGGCTCCTTTCTATGTCACGGGGGCCACCATTATGTCAGACGGAAGGAAGTCACGCGATGCTAGACCCATCGTTAACTTCCTTGTCGGCGGGTCGCGTGGGGTGATGCTCGTCCGGACGACGAACAGGGAGGGTGAGCGCGATTGCGCGCCTGATGTGTTGGCGCGCTGGATCAAGGTGTTCGATGACTTTCCCCCTAAGTGGGTGAACGCCATCTGCACCGACTGCGCCTTGGCGTACGTCGCCGCGGCGAACATGCTCCAGGGGCCCCAGCAGAGGCCAGAGCATCGACGGATCACGTGGCTCCCATGCGCAGTGCATGTCTGCAACAAGATGTTCAGACATTGGTTGTTCGGACCCGTGGGCCAATGACATCATCGTGAGGGGGAGAGCGGTGGTGCGCTTCATTAAGGAGCACGGCGCCGCTCTCCACATTTTTTGGGGGGAAAGCAGTCAGATGGGCCTCATCTTCCTTGCGAGACACGTTTCTCATCCGTGTTCGCGATGGTGGAGCGTTTGCTGGCAGTGAGGTCAGCATTGGAGAGGACGGTGGATGGCGATACTTGGGGTATGGTCCCTTGGGACCATTCCGTTCGTCAGTTGGCTAAGTGGGTCAGGTGGCAGGTGCGGCATGGCAGTTGGTGGGATTCCATGGGCGTCTTGTTCCGCATCATGGATCCTGTGTACGACCTGCTGCGCAGGTTGGACCGCGGAGGGCTGCACATGTCGTGGGTGGTTGAGTGGACACAGGATCTGGCCCGCTGTGTAGCAGAGGAGGTTTGTGCACTTCCGGCAGATCTTGCACACTACATTGTGCGGAGAGTGCAGGCTCGATGCGCTCACATGCTGGAGCCGGCGCACGCCGCTGCTCACCTTCTCTGTCCCAACCGACAGGACTTGCGGTACTTCGAGGGTGTGGTCAGCGACTACGACGCGAGCTTGGTGAGGGAGGCAGAGTCTTACATCTTGTCGCAGACAGGGTTCAGTGTGGCGAGCCGCGACTACGAGACCGCATGTGCACAGTTGCGCGACTTCCACACACGGAGGGGGACGATTGCTTGGGGGGGGAGAGACGGAGACAGAGATACACAGAGGTGCATGGGCGATGCGGAGACGTACGAGTCCGGGTGTTGGTGGTCGAGGTACGGGCAGTGCGCCCCGCAGTTGCAGGTTATCGCTCTTCGTGTGATGTACATGTGGACGTGCTCCTCTCCTGAATTGGGCCGTCCACGAGGGTGTACAGACGAAGAAGCGTAACCGGCTTGAGTTCGAGAAGGTCGCGAAGTTGGTTGAGATCTCAGCCAACGTCTGCCTTCTCTCTCATCAGCGGGCAGGCCGCGAGTTCGCGTTGCCGTGGACTCTAGATGAGTCATTGTTGGACGTGGAGGGAGGTATCGGAATTCGCCCCTCGTGGAAGGGGACGGACGAGAGCAGGACGCGGGAGGAGCTCGAGGAGCAGAGACGTTCATGGCAGCGAGACCCATGTGGATCCAGAGCTCCTCCGGGTGATGTGGGCGATGTTTTTGGGACTCGAGCCGCCACATTGCACCCGTACCCTCGAGACGACAGTGATTCCGAGGGTGACGAGGACGAGGACGAGTCCGCGGGCCCCGCTACCGCCACTCCTACGGCGGATGAGCGCGATGAGTGGAGCGACCCAAAGGACGTCCGTAGACGGAGTGGCGGAGATGACCTGTTCGTTCCAATTGATTTGGAGGAGGAGTCTGGGGGTCGTCATGGGAGCCCTGTAAAGCGTCCGAGGCCTACGTCCACTGGCCCGCTTCCCGCTGAGTGGGAGAAAAATCCTGGGTCTGCACCTTCGAGGGGGGCAGAGTCGGGGATTGGCCATCGTCCTCTGGGTCGCTCTGGCACGGCATCATCCACCGCTCTTCCCACTTCGACGGAGGAGCTTCATCGACAACCAGCCGGTGCAGATCGATACCAGAGATTGGTGAGGGGCCCGAGACAGCGATTGAAGGACAGATTAGAGGGTGGTCCTTCACCGGTGCAGAGGGACGACGGAGATAGACAAGGGTTGGTTGGTGGAGATGGTGGTGCGTTGGCCGGAGGTGGAGGCGGTGCCGAGGTTGCTGCGGCGTTTGAGGGGATACTGATGGGCGGCGGATGCGGTTTCAGTGAGTTTGGTGACATGTGTATGCCCCCAGGAGAGAGCGTGGGTCTGGCCTGAGGAGAGAGCGAGTCCCGTGGGGACATCAGTGTGGGTATGCAGGACTTACTGGGACAGATCAGCTTCGCGGACCCGAGTAGTTTCTCCCCTGCCATGCGCGCAGAGGTGATGTTGGGTGCAGAGGGGGATGAGGACCGGACACCCCCTGGAGAGACATATGAGGAGAGGCTGGATAGGCTTGATAGTCGTCGAGCTGCCCTCATGGCACAGAGGGACCCCAGAACGCAGGAGCTCGCCTGTCTTGCGGCCGAGGACCGACGGAGGCAGCTAGGGACATTTACGCCGGCGTCCGTGGACGTGGGGCCAGCTGCCCACACGGATCCTCCGACAGAGGTTCATGACACCACGCAGCGGGAGGCGGCTTCGGCAGAGGTATCGAGTACGGGAGTAGATGTTCAACAGGGGACGCACGAGAGCGGGTTGGCACCGATAGAGGAGCCACGTTCGGAGCCGGCGCAGCCTCCTGCCGTCCAGCTGAGGCCTGAGGAGACATTGCAGGAGGTCGCGGGCGTGCCTCTGCCCGCGGGTTCAGTTGAGGGTGCCATGCAGATATCCCCGGGTCTGGAGGACATACAAACGGGGCAGTCAGTGGGCGTTGATGATATTCGCCCATCGGCACAGGCGGAGGGGATAGCGCCGACCACCGGGGGGGACAGGGCCGTAGTGGGGGCCGTTGGTGTTGGCGAGTTGGGGGTGCCGTCCGCGGCCGATCCGATGTCCACGTCTGGCGGGGAGGACCCCGCACAGGTGGATAGGCGTGACGCGGACGGGCAGGAGATACCACAAACTTTGGTGGTTCGCACTGCTGTGGGGCCAGTGGTGCCGCATCAGGCACCGTTTTTGGAGGGTTATAGGCGTCGTGCACATGGCGGCGGCCCGGTCCAGGAGCGACGTGTAGGCAGGGGTGCGTGCATACCCCCGGTCCCTACTTTTGTGCCGTCACAGACGAGGCCGGAGATTAGGCATGTGGCTACGCCTCGGGGCAGCCTCCCTTTTGGTTTTATGACCGCTGAGGAGTTGGAGGACCATGGCAGGAGGGATTTGACGGAGATCGACCAGCGCATTTTGAGGTCAGTCCCAGAGGAGGGGAAGTTGCCTCACGTGCAGGACTTATCTTGGGGGCCAGCCAGCCCCAGCTTACCTTCTGGGTGTTCCATCGCAGCGCCATCTGGCGGGGCTGCTGGGGGCTTACCTTCTGGAGGTTCCGTCGCAGTGGCATATGGCGGGGCCGCAGGGGACTTACCTTCTGGAGGTTCGGTCGCAACGCCATCTGGAGGCGCCGCAGGCCCTTCGTCACCCTTGACCGCAGCTCCGAGGGAGGGCGGCAGTCTCACCCCGAGGTCAGTTGACCGTAGACGGAGAGACACTACCAAGTGTGCGCGGGAGTTGTTGGACACCATGTTCAGTCACACAGATCGACCATGGAGCGAGGCGAGACGGGTGACGACGGCGAGTGTCGGTCGTCAGCCAAGTTTGAGAGGGGCTTCCACGGCCGTGAGACATCAAGATGTTGTAGCTTCAGGGTTTGGTGGTAGAGGCGGTGGTGGCGGTGGCAGCGGTGGCCAGGGCGACGACATACGTGAGGGTGCAGGCGTTGCCGCAGCGAGCGCAGTGGATCCGCCCTTGACGTACGGTTTGAGAGAGGCGTCAATTATTTTGCATGAGCCTGACGTTGTTACACGACCGAGGCAGGAGACACGTGCCATTAGATCGACGCCAGGAGGGGGAGACTTCAGGGACAGACGGTCTACCTATGGCATGCGAGTCACGCCGACGTGATGACCTAGCAGCCGCAGGTGTAGGCAGGACGTTGAGAGGCAAGAGACTCATTATGGACGACGACCTCGACGAGTGTCCCGTCGCTCCCGAGCCTTCCGCTGGCAGACGCGGTGGCCAGCGTCAGAGAGATCGACTGCGTGGCAGTGGTCGGAGGGGAGGTGGCGGTTCTAATCGGTCCGAGCGAGATCCGCGTGCGCACGACAATCGTTGACGGATCACGGACTTGCATTTTCGTGACATTCTGAGTGTACTTTAGTTTTTTGTTATCCATGACAGACGTAGTGTCTCGTGAGGTTGTATTATAGTCTACTTTCCAATGGGTGCTTTTCTGCGCAGACGTAGTGTTTCGTGATGTTGTATTGTAGTCTACTTTCGTAGGAGTATACGGCCATTTCGTTCGAGTTGAGTTTTTTGTTATCCATGACAGACGCAGTGTTTCGTGATGTTGTATTATAGTGTACTTTCCAGTAGGCACTTTTCTGCGCAGTTTGCTACTTCAGAGATTATAGCTTTCCAATGTATTGTAGTGTGCTTTTCATCGGCATTTTTGGGTTGGTACTTCTTTCCACAAACTGGCGGGGCTTCGACACGATGTGTCAGATTTTTGCTATTATCCATCGTATAGTGGTCTGCGTTTTGCTTCGATCATTACATCTTGTCATTTGCGATGTTTCTGTTTTCAGACGACGAGTGTTTTGTGTGCTTTGAGTCCGCCCTTGGTTTCTCTGAAATCTCACTTCCCCCGAAGTGCTTCCAGGCCCCTCATAACCCAAACCATACCGTAGCCCCCCCTGGCCACCCGCCCCCACCCCTGGCCCTGAACCCCCCAAACCACCTTTTTTTTTTT